ACACACACACACACACACACACACACAAATAAATAAATAAAAAGTTTTTAATATTGAGAGAAAGAATAATGTGAAATCTGCAATCCTGTCTTCCAGAGCTTCCAGTTGCCAATACCCAACAGCACTTGGAAGTCCATCAGAATAGCATTCTGGTGATAAAAGGGGGGCGGGCGGGCCTTTAGATCCTTAAAAAATGATTGAAATCTAGAAAATGTGTGTTTATGCTTGGTCTGAATTTATTTCCCATTCCTGTATTTCAAACTCACAGCAACTTTAATTTTGCTGCCAGTGATATATCATGCAAAGGAAGCCTTCCAAAAGGGAGAGGAAAAATAAGTGGGGAGAACTGAGGAATTTTTAGCTCCTGCTCCCTTTACCCCCACATCTCCCACCTGCCTCCAACCAAAATACAGTAGCTAAGCAGTTTATTGTGAACCTCCTGGAATGTAATTTCCTTAGGAAAGTAACTCAGCTCTAGGACCCAGATGCCTCCAACGTGCCCAGCCTCCATCCTCTCCCTCTGGCCCTGTGCAACCTTCTCCCACTGCATTCTATGGCCCTTCTCTGCGAGCTTTATAAAGAATGAGTTGTCCGCAATCAGGGAAAACGGATTAGCGTCAAATTAGGAAAGTGGGGGGTTACTCCTTAAAAAGACAGCGGCAAGCTCAGTAGGGAAGCCGCAGCGGGCTTCTGTCTTGTAAACCTATTCCAGAATCTTCCCATTTTGGCGCGCCAGTTTGTAGAAGTGACTGCGCAGTCTTACAATAAAGAGCACGGTGGCCTCTCCTCTGCAGTAGCAGCAGCAGGGACTGGAGCCTCTCCTTCCTCAACTTCCAATTTTCAGTTCCTTCTTTCAGTTAAGGGGACTTCCAACCCTGAGCGTATGCCTTCGATCGTTCCCTCCCCCACCGCACCATTTCTTTGGGAAGACAAATCTCCCCTTCTAGGGAGCTTGCTTTGTGGAAGACAAGAGACTGCCGCACGGTTTTAAAGAAGCCGTGGTCTTCACATCCTCTTCCTTTCCGCGGGCGGGGGAGAAAACAGCGGAAATTTAGCACTGGTAACTATTATTATTACATCTGAAAAACTTGCCCTCTAAAATGCCGCTAAATGTACATTCATTGTGAATAGTGAAGGTGCGAGCTGAAGGGGAGAAACGGGAGCGCTAGGAGAAGGAGGAAAAAGGGTGGGGGAAGACCCTGATCTCGGTGTGATCCTGGGGTTCAAAATCCGCGGTGGCCCATGGTGGCAGCCCCCATCCTCAGCACCAAAGCGCACTTTTGGGGAGTCAGGGAGCTGGAGGGAGGGGCCGTGAGCGGGAGCGCGGGAAGGAACTAAGGGAAGCAAAGGCGGCTGCGCGCAGGGAGCGCGCGGGGCAGGGCTGCTCGCGCGCCCAACTGGGACTCGCCTCTCAGCCTCCTCTCTGCCCGCCAAGCCTCCCTGCCGCTGACATCATTGCCAGAAGGAGGGGCTGCCCAAGCAAAGGCGACTGGAGAAATGGGTTCTATGGCCTCACTCGCGGAGGCGCTCCAGTGCTGCTTGGCAAGCTCAGCGCCCTGGCAGCGGCGGCGGGACTCGGCGGCGGGACTCGGCTCACGGAGCTGCACGCGGCAGTTCTTAATTTAGCAGAGGGAAGAAAGGTATCTTTAGACCTTAGCACGTCCATCTCTTGGTTCTTTCGTCAAAACCGCCCTCACACAGTCCATGCTGTCTCAGATGAACCAGACAAAGACAAGAAAGGGGGAAACGTACATATACTATTACTTCGACTTGCTTCAAATGCGCCTTCCCCAACACACACACACACACACACACACACACACACACACACACACACACGAAAGAATAACACAGAGGTTTAGATTTCCCTCCTTGATTGTGAGAATTTGTCTCAAACAAGATTAAAAGTGGAATTCCATTTAGTCTTTTACCAAGTTACAAAGGTGCCTGGAAGTAAACGCCTCCCCATTTTTTAAGTCACACCGTTTTACTTTTTATGGAGGTGGAGGAAGATGGTCGCTTTAAGTTACAAAGCGCTGACACCTTCTTAGGTGTTGTGCTCAGCGTTCCCAATTCTCCCCAAGCTCCTCAGGTTGTTTTCCAGTCGCAGCGCTAGGACTATGCACGCGGCTCCTCTGAATTGCTCTGTTCCCATCTTTTTATCCTCTTTCCCGTCTACCCGGATTTTCTACCACTTTTTTACCCCCCATCAAATATCCTTTGTACAGAAACAGCTCCTAGGCTAGGTTTAAATCCATCCCGTTTGTGGATGTTTCCACGCAAGCAAGGACACTTTTGGGGTAATGTTTGTTACTGTTTGGGTGTACTTTTATTTTTTTTCTTTTGTTTTGGCTTCTCTTCTCTCATGGCTTTGCTTTGTGGATGTGTGCCGCAGTGGCGCAAGTTTGTATTCCCAGGCCCCAAGGTAACATTTCGGAAGGGCACTCCGTTCACAGAGATGAGGGATAGCCCTCAGGCGCGCACGCACACTCACACTTCACAGGCACACCCCAGCTCCCTGCACCTCAAGCCTCAAAGGCGTCTAAAAGAGCGACCTTGCAATATATCATTCTGAAAGCAAAGGAGCCTTCATCAATTAAGCTCTGAAAGTCCTTCCTTGGAGGAGGCAAAGAAGTGGCTTCTGCTATTTGGTCTGGGATAGTGACTGCCCCCGGGAGGCGAAATTTGTTACCAAGTGCTCATCTGTAAGTCATGTCTTCAACCCAGGACTTGTCGCTCTGCCTTTTTGAGTCTCTAAAGAAATATGCTCTTTTCCAGGTACCTGCTTTTTAAGTCACCTTTTTCCGATGACGCTCTTAAGAGGCATTTGTGTGTGTGTGTGTGTGTGTGTGTGTGTGTGTGTGTGTGTGTG